TTTTTTTTATGAATGATAGCACGCGGAAGGCGTTGCTAAACAACTTTACTACAATGTGTCAGATACATCGAGTATATAACAAAAAATAAAGACGAAATAAGGGCCATATATTCCGGGTAACACATTAGCGATACAGCTCTTATAAATATCAACTCTCGTTTGCACTGAAATATAGACAGGCCAACTACTGACCTGTGTGTACGTCTCCGTATATTCCAAAAAATATTCTGTATTTATTGTAATAAAGATAATAAATATCTCTAACAATGCCGTGCTGTTCTATTCGGTGGTGTGGGAGAAACAGCAAAACATGTAATTACAAAACAAACGGAGTCACATTTCATCGGTAATTGAATATTAGATATGTAATTTTAGCAATTATCGTCCATTATAGCAAAGCTCAAGTTAACTGGTCGATTTTAAGTGAAACAGTTGACGACACCCGTCAATTGTTTCGAACTCGGGCTAGCCAATCGGACTGCAGTTGTCACAGTAATGATATGGTAGAATATTTTTCAAATAAATTAAATGACATTTCGTCTCTATTTCTGGTTATATACTCGATGGTCAGATATTACAATAAAAACTTCAAAGTAAATTTTTGGCAAATTTGTTATATTTTGAAAAAGTCATGGACCATAGGTTACTACAACTATACTACTATTTATGATGTTCGTAATATAGGGAGGTAGTTAGTGTTATACAAATAACCATGTACATATATGAACAATTTTTTACAGCAATCTTCATACCTCAGCGCTATGTAATGGGTATATTAGGACTTTTTGCTCTGGCGAACTCTTTTACAATGCGAGTATGTCTTAGTATGACAATCACTCAAATGGTGAAGAAGACTGCGCATCAAATTCATATCACCGGCGAAACCTGCGCAGACCCTGATGACATCATTAAAGGGAATAGCACAGCGATCATCAAAGTGAGCCAGTTTCATAGTATAGTAAGACAAGTATGGTAACTTCTTACAAAGGTAGCAGCAGCATGACTGGTCTGTGTGCACGCCCGCTGTGCGCCATGTACGAATACACACTAATGAAAGGCTAGTATGTGAGCGGGTAGTGTCAGCAGCCTTGTTTCTAGAATCCTGTCGTAGGATTAAATTTAGTAGCAGTAGAGCTCCTTGAGAAAGAGTTCGTCCAGGGTAGTACTGCCACCTTACCTATTTTTGGCGCCAAGCAGTAATGTCAGCATTTTACATAAATTTAAAAAAAATGAAAAATGAATTCCGGTTTTGAAGGGTAAGGGTGCTGGTGAAATTACAGGCACATGGGACTTGTCAACTTGTGTCTCAGGGTGCCGGGCGCACTGTCAGTGCCCCTCAGATCTTTGGGATTTAAAGCTCTGAGTGACACTGCAACTGTTATAGACAGGCGTGTAGCTTACCATCAGGCGCACGACTTATTCGTCCCATCACTTGATGTTAAAAAAAATTTATTAGAAATAAGGTCGCCGATACCAAGCCGGGCGGTGTCGCCAGGGTTTGGTCTGTAGAGCCCTTGAGCATTACTTGCGTTCCGGTTCGGAAGGGTGAGTGTAATACAAGCACATGGGGCTCTTCAACCTACATCACGGGGTGACGGGCACAGTGGCAGTGCCCTTAAGATCTTTGCGATTAAAAGCTCTAAGTGACATTGCAACTGTTGTGGATAGGCGCGTCGCTTATGGCGCCAGGCGCACGACTTGTTCGTCCCGTCATTTGGTATTAATAAAAAAGCCGCGCTGCTACGTTTGTATGGAGTTACCGTACTTGTTAATACTATGTCAGTTTCTTATTAAAAAAATGGCATCTCGGAACACATTAAATATGTGATCAAGGATAAAAGTTACAGGAAAAAACACACGGATCAAAAGTCGATTATAAATATTAGACAATTATTTCCACATAGCATACCTACACGGAAGGAAAATGAACTTAGAAATGGTGGTTTGAATTTTCCTTAATTCGACTTTAATTACTCTAAAACGTGATATTACAATTGCCTGTTTAATCTCGTCTCGGAGACCCTGGTTGTGCTTCGAGTAAATAAACAGTGTTATAAAACTTTTACAACTACTATTGTAACAAACTCATTAAAATTTGTAACCTAGCGACCTTGTACAGAGTGTTAAATAAGTTCGTATTTATTCCATCGAAAAAAGACAGTAAAAAAAAATATTTCAACTGTTTCTAAAAATCAATCCTTACCGAACTACAGAAAATTACTAATTGTTGCCATAAATAAGATTTTTTATTTATGTATTTGTTCAGAAACATGAAATGTGTAACATGAGAAAATGCCAAAAACTACTAATTTAAATAAAATTAACTATTGATTAAAATCCACTCAGACTTATCTCAACATTTGGATTCCATGAACAAAGTTGATTGGCATTGTAGATAGAGTAATCTCATGATATTTTGCTCGCACAGGTTCAAGGTCCTAACGAACTTGACATTTAAGATTTAAATTCAACACTTACGATAAGAACGGTGTATCAAGCTTGGATCTCACTGTACTTTGTTTAACGATCCGTATAGTTCGTTCACTTAGAAGATAAATAAATCATTTGAAATGTATTTTTCAAAGTTGCAATATACTAAAATTGAAATCGAAGATAATGCATAGTATAATTAGACAAGTCTGGTAACACACACTCGTAATCTGCGTAAACTAAACGTTTCACATTATGCCATAAGACCGCACTTGATGGTAATGCAGGGTCTGGTGAACCTATTATTGATGATATGGTAATGATGATATCACTAACATGTGGTTTCAACAAGGCGGTGCCACAAGTCACACAGCCACCGAAACAATGAATTTATTGCAAACCAAATTTCCCGATCGCATAATTTCACGAAATTTAGCCGTTAAGTGGCCAGCGGGCTGGCTGCTGAATTTCGTGAAATTATCATGGTGTTAAATCTTGTGATTCAACACCGCTGGATTATAATTTATGGGGTTATGTTGAAGACAAAGTCTATGCGAAGCCAATCGAATAGATTGCAGCCTTAAAACTCAAAACTCGTGAAGTGATTAACGAAACCGACCCAGCATTTTGTCAAAAAATGATTAACAACTTTGATGAAAGAATCGACATCTGTAAACAGTTACAGATGTCGATGCGACCACAGAATCGTCGTGGACATTTATCAGATATCATTCATGATTCCCAAACCTTACTTTTTTTAATACATTAAACATTTGAAATATTGTGATCTAAATTTATTGTTTTATTTTGATTTACAAAACAAAGGTCTTGTTGACAAACTCTTTACATGTTTTATTATACTACCTCGACTTTACTATATAAAGCCATCGAAACAAATAGATAACAAATCGCTCATTACTAATATACGTGCTTCTCTTACAATTGATACAGTGTCAATGTTCGATAGGCACTAGACATCTCGGACAAAAAAACGCATCGATATATTGTTGTCTAATCAATGTTCGACCGTTCGTGTGCTTTTACAAATAACAAGATTTTTTTTCTGTATACGTCGAAACTTAACGGCTGTGGAATCAATAAATTAAAATAAATGAAGCTATCAGCGTAAAAGTGTAACATTGGTCTGTGGGTGTAACCACGGAAAAAAAGTGATTAATTATCATTTAAAGTAATATTGTACAAAAGTGTAGTGGTGTACACTTTTGCGGTGATAGCCTCAATTATGATAATTATTTACCTAAAATATGGTTTACAAACGGCAGAACACATCAAGGCGGCACATAATCAGTCCTTATGAGTTACAAAACTGGCGCGGAAATTTCATTGAAAAATCCTTTAAAATATAGGAAAAGAAAACTATTTTTTCGGATCTAAAATCGCGTATACATGTTTTATTCAAACAAATCAATGTTTCGGGATCTTTACATGTCGTGGTCGCGGCTGATAAATGAATAGTTACAATAATTTCAATGTGTAATAATCGCGAAAACCTAAGAACTCGATATCGTAACTTATAAGTAGATGTTTCAATACGCATAAAATCGTTTCAGTACCATGGCCAGTACGACTGGGACGAAGCTACTCAAGGGCTGCTTCTCAGTGCATTCTACTACGGGTACGTTCTCACGCATCTCCCTGGAGGACTTCTAGCTGAGAGATTTGGGGGAAAATGGACTGTCGGCCTTGGTCTACTTAGCACTTCCATAGCAACTGTCATTACACCTTGGGCTGTCAGTATTGGAGGAGCTATTGGATTGTTTGTTATTAGAGTCATTGAAGGGTTTGGCGAGGTTGGTGTTAACGTTCGTTTTTTGTTCGTTGATGAAATACGTGAGTCGAGATTAAGATTTATTGACACAAATTTATTTTATGATAATTTATACTGTCTTTAGTGTTTCCTGTTAAATCTTGTATACATATACCAATTTAAAATTCATATCCTTCTATTTTGCGTTTGGTTTTTGAATTAAAATAAGTGTAGCAGTGTTATCTACCCAGTTGGCATTATATTTATATATATTTCTTGTCCAAACTAGATAACTTACGTCATATCTTTATCTTTATTCTTTATCTTTATCTTCTTCTTTGTTAACCTTAACAATGATAACAATATGAAGTAAGTTATCTAGTTTCAACAGCTTTGTTAGCATATTATTTTTAAAATAAAGGATTATTCCAGGGTCCAGTGACTCCAGCCTGCGTTCTCCTTTTAGCACGGTGGGTACCACCATCGGAAAGGTCACGCTTTGGAGCTATGATTTTTGGAGGTGCTCAAGTGGGAAATATCGTAGGCCCTTATCTTTCTGGAATTTTATTAGCAAATGGGGGACATTGGGCGAATGTTTTCTACGTATTTGGAACTTTGGGCATCATTTGGTTTGTATTTTGGGTAAGATCTCTCCATAAACTTAAGATTCTATTAACAAAAAAATCCAAATTATCTCTGTCCTAGTTTTTTTGCACCATAATTACTGTTGTTTACAAGCAGCCAAATGTATTCTATTGCGAGCGGTCGGTATTTGCGACATTTGGAAAACAAGTAGCTCGTGATGAAAACAGTAAATTTTACCACCAACCAAACGCATTTGTAACATCATATCTTACGAATACTCAAAAGTTTTACCTGCTCTTCTCGAGTCTAATGCGCGTTATTCACCGACATTTTCAACGACAGAAGTGTAATCTTTATACAGGCTCTTCTCTGCTACAATACACCTAACGATCATCCATTCATCTCAGAACAAGAAAAGGAATATCTAAATAACAACATAGAAGCTTCAGCTTTACATAGAAAACTAGATCCAGTTCCATTCAAAGCTATACTGAGATCTGCACCATTATGGGTTCTTGTATTAGCCGCTGTAAGTAAAATACAATAATGATGACTAATAAAAATAGTTTGTATACAAATTAGTGTATACATTCCTCTATAGTTTAACTACGAAAAATTACTACAAAATTTAGACATTTTTACTCGACCGTAATGAATACCACCAAACCTCATGTTCTGAAAATATAATTCCTTTTCCAACATCACCTACTCACTGAACTTTGGTTATACAGATCGGCCATGACGCAGGATACTTTGCAATGATCACTGACCTCCCGAAATACTTTAGTGACGTCCTGAAATTCAATATAAAAGAGACAGGTGTAATGTCCGCCATACCCTACGTTGCGATGTATATCTTCTCCTTCATATTTGCTGCTCTCTGTGATCTTTGTATTAGAAAGAAATGGCACAGCATAACTACTGGAAGAAAACTTTATACTACTATAGGTAAGTACATTTTTTTTCTTTTAGAAAAAGCAGAAAGTATGTAAATGTTAATAACCTAGTAAATCTTTTCGATCTAAAATTTAAAGATCGCAACAAAACCTACAAGTTATCTGGGAAGTTTAAAAAAAAAAATCTTTAAAAACATGTGTAGTTGCATTGAGCAAGCCTCTAAGGTAGACTAGATTTTAAGACCCTTTTTAGAGAACACCCGTGCCTAACAGTAAGATCTAAATTGATCAATACAGTATGTACAGTTATTTAATATGTCAATATGAGACTAAAGGCACGTTCTTTTTCAAACGATGGTGACTGTATTTGACAATGTAAATAAATGGTAAAATGTTATGAAACTACCATAAATGAACTGGTAGAATTTACAAACATTAACATTAAGAAAAATAGTTATTTGTTATACAAGCAAGGTTGTTGTTTGTCGCGAGTGTTTGCATTGAAACCTGAGCAAGGAGGGGTTCAAGCCACGAGACGCAAAAGAACTCTGTTGCCGATCCAGTATTTCCTCTAATGAAAAATCCCAAACAAACATAAGACTGCAGTACTAATTAATATGTTTTAGTTTATTCTAATTTCTATCAATAATTCATTAATAAAAAAATTTGTAAAACTTAATGTAGCGTAAATTGGAATGTTGTCTTTGTAAAATTAAAAATAAGGTATTTAATTAATAACTATTAGTTACTAGTAACTATAGTGAAAAAATAGGATGGTTTGCATTAATATTAGACATAACTGGTTGTAGACTATACCACCTCAGTCAACCGTGACCATGGGACCTGTAAAGGGCCCGAAACGTCGGTTTGTTTGAAAAAAAACAAATATACGCGATTTAAATCCGGAAAAATAGTTTCATTTCCTATGTGTAATAATCGCGAAAACCTAAGAACTCGAAATGTATTATTTTACATAAATAGAAATCATAGGTCATAGATAAATCACCAATGCAAGGAAAAAAGAAAATTATTTAGCCACATACAGTTGAACCAACTGCACACTGTTATCTTATCACATAGGAAACGAAACAATGAGAGGTAATTAACTAAAATATTGCTTAGTAAAAATAAGTCGAATCAAGCCTACATTGGTACAGAACAGATCTATGTCCATAGAAGATTTCTTATACTCCTTAATTACTCTGATAAAAAATGAATTTTGCTTGTAATAAATAGGTCATGGCCACGGGCACACACAACACCGGACGACGCCTAAGACTCAGCTAGTTAGTCCTGAGGGATAACTTAGGCAGTAGTTCTGATAACTTAATTTTACTGTTTATTATGTTAAATAGTAATCAAATGTAATCACTTATCACCTGTAATCGAGGTAGAAAGTGATAACACTTACAAAGCGCCACATAGCCTGACCTACTTTGTCTTATAATCTAAATACAATAAAGTTAATTAATAGGCTTTACGTCGGTAAAATCATTGCATGTCCGCATCAAGAACCTAATGGCACTGTGTGCTTTAGCAACTTTACTAGCGACATATTGATCGAAGAGCAGGTAAGAATCAAAATGCACGCCGAGATCCTTAATATTGTCGACTCTATTCATACAACTCCTTAGAAGACTATAATAATCTCCACCGATAATGGTTATGTCAGTCATTTTGGCGTGCTCGAACAGAATTAACCGGAAAAATATAATCAACCTGATACTGACCCAATACTATAGGCTGACATTAAGGAAAAATAATAATACCTAGTTACTTTATGAGAGTAAAGGTGGATTCATATTTGTGAGATTTCAACCCACCGAGACTCCGTGACGTTCCACGATACTTGCTACACTACATGTGTAGGTATTATATTAAATAATAAATAATAATAAATAACGCACACACTCAACATAGCCCCGCACTAGGGAAACCCTGTGTCGCGGGTGCCATGGACACACATATAGACAACCACAAATTACACCCAAAGTCACGAGAGAAATATATGTAGGCCATACAAATATTTCTCCCGGCCCGGGAATCGAACCTGGGACCTCTGCGTGGCAGTCCGGCATGGTAACCGTTCGGCCACGGAGGCAGTTATATTGTAGATTTACCGTTTGTATTTCTTTGTGTTTTATTACACACATTATACCGAGCCGATCCGTAATGTAGCACAAAATTATACCGTATCTGTCACGTGTGGCAAACACAAAAGTGTGGACGACTAATTACACTAGGAGAAGGATAGAAAATCCTTTAAGAAACCGCCTTCTGACGGAACGATTCGTGACATAGTGTGACATCGGAGCGTGACAACACAAAATCACCGTCCACATTCGCTACAATTACGCGGTGTTGTACGGACAACGGCACATCGGACTACACATTTTTGTTCGAAAGTCGCCTCCAGTGCAACGGAACAAGATACGTCAATGTGTAGCTTGATGTGCTGGCGTGTGTACATCCACGACCCGTCGCGGGTCGTGAATCGCTGCGCAGTGTCATTTCTCCGCGTGACAAAAACCGTCCACACTTATATCTTTGTCACGCATATCTGTTACGGTCACGGAGTCACGATGCGTTGAAATGTCACAAATGTGGACTCATCTTAAGATACCACTAATCAACACGTTTCCGCATCGCACATTAAATATGGATGCAATGCTAAATGATAATTCACTGAAGCGTGCCGAGTCGTGGAATCCAACCCTCAAACACTTTCTAACTGCCTCTGTGGCCGAACAGTTACCATGCCGGACTGCCACGCAGAGGGCCCAGGTACGATTCCCGGACCGGGAGAAGTATTTGTATGGCCTAAATTTATTTCTCTCGTGAGTTTGGGTGTAATTTGTGGTTGTCTATGTGTGTGTCCATGGCACCCGCGACACACGGTTTCCCTAGTGCGGGGCTATGTTGAGTGTGCGCGTTATTAAACACTTTCTAATTGTACAACAAAAAGCCCAAATACTATATAACTTCAAACTTAACTTTATCGAACTATTTCTACCTTTACAGCGGCAACAATACCGGCTATTCTAATAATCCTAGCATCGTACTCAGGGTGTAATCGAATACAAGCAGTAGCCCTATTTATAGTATCCATGGCTTTCATGGCTGGCTTCTACAGCAGCGTGAAGATAAATGCTATGGATATTGCTCCGAATTATGCTGGAACCTGTTCTGCCATTGTAAACGGAATAGGTGCCGTTTCGGGGATTGTCACGCCGTATTTGATTGGCTTGTTGACACCAAATGTGAGTATTGATTTTTTACTTGATTATATCTTTAAGGAAAATAGTCTCGCTCGCTTATTGTATATTTTGCCTCAAAGTAACAAACATATTATAATAATTGGCATCATGGTGAAATTATTTGCCAATCGGCGCAAGGTACTTACCGATTGTTGCCCAGGGTGTGGATATTTGTATTACATTTAAAACATGGTGCTCAATTATAAATCGCCATATTGAAATAAAGCTCTTATTTTAACATTTCAACATAAATAATTTTACTATGTGAATCCGGTCTTGGTATGGCTTGCCACCATTGTGAAAGGCTTCACCGATTGTTACCCAGGGTGAGCCGAGCGCACAGAAAAGGAATGGTACGTCGTACGGAGAGGCTCCTTTAGTGCACCCCAAGCATTGACTTACAATTATATGGACGTCGGGTCCGCGCTAAAAAGCGTCCGCACTTGTAAGGCGCTAAAATCGTATACAGAGCGCGACACTCCGCTTTAGTCTTCATTTGTTCTACTGACAGCGCGATACTGCGATGACATTACAATTTAAATTTCGAATAGGTAGACTTGGGACATTTTTTTCGTGGTTTTTGTATTAGACCCGTCGTCCATTTATTTGTAAGTCAATGACCCCAAGGCTCAATTTGTATTGCAGCGGAACGGAATGGAAGGAATTTTTGTAACGGTATTGTACATGCGTAATGAACTTTATGGTCAATTGTGTAACGTACGAACTAGATGCTAGCCAAAAATCACGTCTCGCGTCTTCCACGGAATTCTCGCGCATGCTCGAGAATGCTCGCGCGTTCGCGCCAATTCCGCAGCTACCATCGACGACGCCCGCCGAATCCACAGGAAGTGGCGCAAAGGCAGGCGCAGTGTGACGTTAAATGTCGACGAAATAGTATAGCCTCAAGGCGTGTTCCCGGAAATGCTCGAGCAATCCAGCGACTGCGCGCGAGAAGGTCGCAGCGAGACGAAATTGACGCTTCCGTTCCATTCTATTCTGCTGCAATGTAACTTGAGCCTAAGGAAAATAAAATAAGTAGTAAGGCCTATTGTTATTTGTGTCCTATTTGTAAACTTAGATTTCGGACGTTGAAACAGCTAGATGGGTTTACTTCAGCTACTTTCAGTTTAATAATAATACGGCATTTTGCTTTGGCGTAATACCGCCGATATTAATAGGAATCTTTGTCCCGCAGAAACTGCGGTTAGGCCAATGTACAATCTGGCCACATAGTGTTTTTGAGAGAGTTTTTACAAAAATATTATTTATGATGATAAGTAACTTTTTTTATCAAAAATAGCAACAGACTTAACATTAACACGAGGAATAAAAATAAACTAGCTATTCTTGACAGTCGTCTTCACAAACTCACAAATTTCATTTAAAGGGCAATGTATAAGCTTCTATATTAAGATTCTGGTTGATATTCAAAATTTGCCATTTACGAGGTTTAAAACTATAGTGAAACAAAAACTTTGTACTAAAGGTTTGCGTACTTGGATGACAAGAATCCGTGATAGTGACCCGTTTAGCTCTTACATGTAGTCTCAATCTAAGAAGATGTTTGAAATAAATATTGTAAACTAATGTGACGATTTCTTTTTATTTTATTTTTTATTGCACACACTCATGACCCCGCACTAAGGAAAACCCTGTACGCGGATACCAGGGACTCACACATAGGTAAACAACCACAAATTACACCCGAACTCACAAGAGACATAAATGTCGGCCATACAAATATTTCTCCCGGCCCGGGAATCGAACCCGGGACACCTGCGTGGCAGTCCAGCATGGTAATGCCGTTCGGCCACAGAGGCAGCTAAAATTAAATTTCAATATAATTTTCAAATATAATTTGCTTACTTATGAAACAAAGAGGATTTTAAGTTGAATTTGAATATGAATTTGAATTAGATAGGCATCTATAAAACAAATACTGACTTAGAAGATCATTGAAATAACTTAGGCAAGAAAGATATCATATATAGAGATATTATTATATACCTACGAAAATTGGATAATGCAGTCTCAAAAATTGGCATGCAAATCCTGTACTGCTTGTACTGTGCGGGCTCTATGTAGAGGTCGGGGGTGCGATTGCCAGTAGGACCAATGTGCCCCGGATTGACTTCTGTTGCTCTTGTATTCATATTACAAGAAATTCTCTAGTTTGAGACCTAATGAGTGGTGTTGTTGTTTGACACATTATAAAAAAATCGTAAGTTTTTACCTTACTAATTTCATTATTCTTTTTACGGAAAAGCATGCAGTAGGAACAAATCGTTTCCAATTTAAAAGACATTTTATTTCACGGTTCATTGCTTTTGGAAAAAAAGTCAACACTTTTTTTGCTACTAAAGAGGAATAAAGTAGATCATAGACAACAACTCCGCAATTCGTAACGGTCAAAGTTGAAAATTACGGGTATATAAGAAGGAAGTAACTTTTTTACAACAGTTTATACAAAACAAACGAACTAATTACTTCAACCTAGGAACATTGCACTGTATTTCATTAAAGTTACTGTAAAAAATGCTTTGTAAATATTTATTTTTGTTCAGATTTTCGTTTGTAAACAGAGAGAAAACACTGTTAAGTGGAAAAATCTTCACTTATGGGTATACAATTTGAGCCACTTTGTACTTTTAACGGACTTCAAAAAAGGAGGAGGTTCTCAATAGAGATGATACGGGTATCCGGTAGCTATTCGGTATCCGGCTGGATACCGGATATTTATAACCGAGGAAAATTCATAACAGTACGGCAAATAAATTGATTTATTGATTAAAAATAATAGTAATAGGAGAAACGGCAACTACGGGATTGTTGACTATCTGTTTATTACTTGTAATATAAAGAACTATGAAGTTAAATAAGGTTATCTATAAACTTAGTACTGCATTAAGCGGTAAAAGTTGGTATTACGTATTTTCATAGACGAGACCAGCTTCAGAGGACATATTTGCACTATAAAGTCTTGCAAACTTTGTTAAACTTTAGGTACTACTTGTTATTGCCGGACGACCAAATGAAAAAATCGCGATCATGATGGATTGGAACTGTCTTCAAATACAATATGTACGTACAATAATGAAACGTATTAGTAGATTAAAAATTTATTACTTTGGCAAATCTATTATCAAGGCTTAGAATTAGATAGGTCACAAACAAGTTAATGAAATCAAATTGAAACAAAATAATAACGGGCGTATCAAATGCTAGGTTTATATTTATAACAACCAGAAATTTTAATATAGCCAAAGAATGATATAATGGCTTTTTTCCTTCTCTATTGCAAAAAATCTGCCTTCGGCACAACAAACATACAGCACCGATATTAAAATATTGCCAAATTTGCGATTTTTTTTCACTATTAACATTTTTCTGTTATGTATTTGTTTGTATTTAATTAATAGAATAAATTATTCGTTTTTATAAAAACTAAGTGATCACAACAAATCAAATTGTCAATGTGAAAGGTCAATCATTCACTAATCAAGTAATAAAGGCTGTACACCGCTTGCGACATGTCTACGGCAGTATGTCAGATATCCGGCGGCCGGATATCTAGCTATTGGGCCTACGTGGTCGCCGGATATCCGGAATCCGGTCAAATCACTATTCGTTTCATCTTTAGTTCTCAATTCGACTGTATTTTTTTTTTTGTATATGTTACGCAAATTGTCCGACATTTTTGAACCAATAATGATTTAAGATTATTTTTTTATTGGAAAGGGAGTAACTTCAGGAGTGGTTCCATTCAAATTTGAAGAAAATATTTCACCTCTAAGGGTAGCAAATTAGACGATGAATCCGGTTTATTGGATTTCACCCACATTACGGTAACCGATTTTAATAAAACTTGGCAAATAAGTAGATGTAATTCCACAAACATTGGAGGTTGGTGTTCATTATCAAATGCCCTAAGTTTAAGTAATTTGATTGATCAAATACTATTATGCAATTTCGAAGGTGTTTAATAAACGTCATTTCAATACGTTCTTGTTGAAAATTTGATTTTGTAAAACGGGGGAAAACTTTTTCTTCGATGAAAGCAACATTTTTAACTTCTAGCCCTTTAAGAATAAAAATGCAAAGTGGCTCGAATTATGTGGCCGGGTGTTTATCGAAGTTAAGTGAATGATATAGATTGTATGAGAAAAAATAGAAAAAAGAGTGACGAAAAGAACAGAAACGAGCACAACACACAATGACATGCATGCATGATTTTTTTTTGCATTTGCCTATATTTTTGGTAATAAAAATAAGGTGAATTCCTGTTGATTTTCTTTTCGTATTTTATGTTACAACGATAGATACCTACTCAAGCATTTTCTTATCAAGCTAACAGAAAGATAACTTGGAAACTTGCTAAGGATTAAGCTTGCCTTTTATGTTTTGACAGCAGGATTGCTAGCAAACTTCTCAAAGATATAAGTGCTATGACGTTTTCCTTTGATAATACCGACTTTTGATAGGGGTATTATCTGGAATAGATAATTTTACAGGAACTCTGTTGTTATTAAAATTCTATGGTATTTGTCGTTTGTATACTCGATAAAGTTATTTCAATAACTTTCCTATATTGTTAAATGAAGAGTTTTGTTTGTACAGCTCTCTTTAGTTATCACTGGAACAAACTTTAAAGAAGGTTTTGTTTCTGGTTTCGCAGTATTTGTTTCTATTTAATAGAACAGCCAGTATATAGAAAAGAGTAGCTATAACCATTTAGCTTTGCTTTAGTAGCTGTCACAGTGATATTTACACAGCTACGTGGAGGTATTTGCGTAATCTCGCATACCTACTCATTTCTAGGTTCTTTGCCATCAATTTATAGAATTTTGATTGAAATATACTATTGATTTTTTAATAATATCAGGTGACGAACAAGTCGTCAAGGTTAAAGTCAAATAATCATTTATTCCATAGGTAAAATTTTTACACTTGAAAACGTCATTTTTAAGCTACTGCTCGTTCACTAGGCCAACCTTCCTGCGAAGAACGAGCAACAAACTTTAGAGATTGCTCTTTTCAAATAAACTAAAATGCTATGGAATACACTTTGAATCATAATTGTGTGGAATCAAGACTCATATTGTCTTTCCATACATCTTTATCTAACAAGTAATCTTCAATTTTGTTATATGACTTTTAAATTAAAATACTTTTAATATAAGTTTTAAACTTAGGAAATGATAACCTTAATAATATAATAACATATACACACATACTCATATTCCCGCCACACACAGACACACACACAGGTAGACAACTACAAATTACACCCAAACTCACGAGAGAAATAAATGTAGGCCATACAAATATTTCTCCCGGCCCGGAAATCGAACATGCAATCCAGCATGGTAACCGTGCCACTGAGGCAGTTAAGTATATATACTCCGGAATCTCATTGCAAAAACGTATACAGTTCTCCATAAAAGAATCGTGCGCCTGATGGTAAACTACACGCCTGTCCATAACAGTTGCAGTGCCACTAAGAGCTTTAAGTCGCAAAGTTCTGAGGGGCAATGCCGCTGTGCCCGTCACCCTGCGACATAAGTTGAGAAGTCCCCATGTGCCTGTAATTGCACCAGCACCCTTACCCTTCATAATCGGACCACAGTAATGCTGACAACAGCGCCACTCGGAACTCTATATTATTTATCTAACCAAATATATTGTTTGTTGTGAAATGTTTAAGTACTTCCTAAGTAATTTATATGTCTATTGTATGAAAATATTTACATAGGTACTAATATGTGTTATGTGGATTATTCCATTTTTGGAAAGCCAAGATTTTGGTCATGATCTGCCGAAATGAGTTCCTCTCTCGTGGACCTCTATTAACGTTTCATGCACCCCATATATTTTTTCCGTTGACATGAACCCCTTATAGGAAAGAATGGGCCCCTGGGGGTCGACATAGACCACATTGTGAATCATCGCTCTAGATATTTCTAAGATCAGAGCAACAGGCATCTTTTAATGTAACATGTACCACCCTCTACCACATAAATATTTTCCATCGTGTTAGATTGTAGAACAAATGTACTTTCGTTTTTTAAAAATATATCTGGTGCAGGCAGACTTTACGCTTTATGAATTTTATACCATATTTATGACGTCAACAAGCGTTTTTACATACGTATTGTCATAATATTACTTTTCAAGTAAATGACAGAAGTGTACATAGAATTAAATATACAGGGTTATTTGTAAAATGCCAACAACCTCGCAGGACTACATTTGTTCCGTGAGTTTTAACAAAACATAATAAATTTACCAAAAATTGACATTTAAGTTTTTGTTGTACTATCTAACACTTTTTAGATCTATAGTTTTTGCAATGCCTCTCGCGTCATTTATAGAAATAATTTTGGTGGGCGGTCTTTTGCAAGTAGTTATCACCATTTAGAGTGATCTATTTAAATATCGTTATTTTGGTACAAAAGTAAAACCGGTTGATTGAACACTTTGAAAAAAATCCTTCCTAAATTCCAACCGACGTCGTCTAGCAAAACGTGCCAGACGCTATGCCAACTAAGCCACGGAACGAACCAGCGGACCTTACGAATTTTGCTATGTGCTTGTTGTCGGATCTTTGTATTTGATTTTCAACGACTTTTTAGACGTAAAACCATCTACAGTGTTCTATCTTTGTATTAATAATAACAAACTAGTAGAGTAATTTCACAAAAAATAACTTAATATCAATTCAATACAAATTTAAAATCTGTTGAATTATTAAAAGTCAAGGAACAAAAGAAATTGTTTATAATGGTAGGAATATAGTCCTACATACTTGTTAGTATGTTACAATATGTATATGCTATTAGTTCCTAATCGATCTATATTTTCCTTTACAGCAAACTATAGGACAGTGGCGCATAGCATTTTGGTTCGTATTCGTCACATTAGTTGGAACCAATATTCTATACCTGATATGGGGCTCGGGAGAACAGCAATGGTGGGACGATATAGAAAAACTGGGATACCCGGAGAGCTGGAAACATGGCCCGTTAAAGAAAAATCCGAAAAATCTGGAAAAAACTGTTATGCGTCCTATACGTAATCATTCGGCTGTCGTTGAAAAATAATATAGGTCTGTTTGGCATTACTCTGTTTTTGAATAAAGTAATGAGTTTAAAGATCAGGCAGTAAATATTACTCATTGGGAAAGCTAGGAATATTTCCAAGCGCTCTTTATTTATTTTTTTTTTTTTTTGAGGATACAAACAGCTTGTATCACAATGTAATAAAAACAATATTAAATAATTATACACAAAAACAGTTCCCTACTGATACATTAGCAAAATACTGCATTGACAACACTAAACAACTAAACGACATTGTACACGCATACATGAGACATTATAGTAGATATTAAATTAGATTACTTTAGTAATAAAAAAATAATTGGATAATACCTAACGTACGCACAGTTTGAGTTAAACAAATCAAAATCGTAAAGACCAGATTTTAACTTTGTTAAAATTATTGCTCGCACGCCATATAAACGAATTCCGTTTGTAATTTTGTAAAGCGACATGTAAATGAATTAGTGACTCGTTACTTAAATGCTACTGTTATCATATCTAAAAGTAATTATTTATAACTGTTGAGTTTCTTATTAATCTATGGCTTGATTTGAAAGCTAGTGCCTCACGTGGTGTCATTGTTGTCAATTTCTTTAAAAAAGACTCGCATAAGCAAATGTGAAAAATCCACATAACAACCAAAAGGTATAAGCGCCCAGTTACACAACGCGAAAGCTTTCATGCGGCCGCCGCGCGGCGGTCGCCCAGTAACCACGCTTTCATGTACATTAAAGGCGAATCTAAATTCTGTTTACTAGGCAACAATATTTAAATTTCTCTGAATAATACAACCGCGCGGTCGCCGGGCGACCTCCGCGTAGACCAAATTCTAGCCGCCAACCTCCGCTCCAGAGACGCTCATTTAAGTTAAAACGTAAAGGCGTAAAAATAAATATATACAGCGTATTTTGCCATAACAGTTAGATTCGCACGATCGCTGCGCGGTAGCAACGCGGTGACCGCGCGGGGTGAATGAAATTCGTATCGAATAAATGCGCCCTAAAGGTATCTGGTTGAGTGAAGAAAAACTTATATAGATTTCTCACAGGTAGCGTTACGGCAAAATAGCTGGTAAAGCCAAAAGCAAAGACCTGCAACAAGCACATAGAGAAATTCATAAGGTGTACTGATTCGTGGGTTGGATGGGATACGTAAGCGATGGCCCCGGTATGGCGAGGTCGTTGGTTCGAGTCCAGCTGGATCGAAGGAATTTCTCTTTGTGTTTGCTCGACCTTTGTATCAATAACAACAAGATAGTGAAGTATTTTCACAAAAAACATATGAACATCATGATAGTCAATAAAATAAATATTGCAAATCCTATCAAATTAGAAAAAAAACTATCAAAAGGTCTCTAAATTGTGTTCGTGTGTTAAGCCATTGACATATGTGTTTTGATGTAATTTACTACCAAGACTGTTTAATTTGATACTGTTTCTTTGATTATGTTTCTTTTTTTTTTATACCAAGTAATGAGACTAGCAAGTCATGCGCCCGGTGGTAAGCGACACGCGTGTCCATAACAGTTCAGTAGCACTCAATCACAAAGATTTGAGAGACATCACCCTGAGACATAAGTTGACAAATTCGATGTACTTACATTACTGCTTTGTGGCAGAAATGTTAGGTAAGGTGGCAATACTTCCCTGAACGAATTCTTTCACAAGGAACTCTACTGCTACCAAAATGTTGCTGGTACTACAAATGAAGAAAAATAAAACACATCGATATTATGATAATAAGGTTTCTTGTTCGATTAGTACTAGTTTACAATAAGATTACTTTACCATTTCTTACATTAATAAATATATTAATTAGTTGTATGTTCACAATGTACAGTATGTAGTTTGTCCTACATTTAGATATACAGTCCGCCGGGCCGCCGGCCACAAGGGCACTTTGAAAATGTCACTGAAAGTGAAAACTCAATAAGAATACAATTTTAGCGCTTCACTTTTCCGATACTTCAATATTTTACCAGTTAATTAAAATTTAAGCAGAATTATGGGACAAAATATGTCCAATTTATATGAACAACATTTTTGATACAAATTTTTCGAAAAACAATCACTGTTGAACTGAATTTTGTATTTACGTTCATATTTATGATATACAGGTTATAATAGTGTAACAATAATGCATTTTGAATCAATGTAATCCACCTTGCGGCGTCTGAAGTTTACATAATTTGCATGAAAATTTGACTAGAAATCGTTTACACTTCTTTAATTTGTGGCAAAAAATTTCACAGGATGACTGAACCCTGTAACATCGAACGTTTCCACAACATCCCATTTGCAATTCGCGAATTATTTTCAAATTTTCGATATAAATTGTCCAATCAGCTCAAATCAGCAATTGTATTTCGTACAGAAAAAATAAGAAAAATCGCAATATACGTTTGTGTTTCAAAGGGAACATTGTTCAGTATCATGGGCAGAGTCACTCTATGAAATTTCAACTTTTTTATAACACCCTGTATTGATAACTAGGATACTGTCCTCAAAGTTTGCGAATAATTTCATTAACATCATTTTAATAATTATACGCCTACTAATGAAAAGTTAAAGATTTCTTTAATTGAATTGAAAATTTATAAGTTTTTGTTTGAGCCACAACGTAAAATGATATTAAAACAAAAAATATGTACATAATAAGTTCAAATAAGAATAGTGAAACTATTCAAAAATAGCTAGGAAGTCGTCACATTTTAAAAGAGGGCTCGTAAATTAATTTTCTCGTGTTATTTTTTTGTATTGTCTTATGTGTACAGTGGAAGCTCTAACATACCTGATCCTCTAGCCCAGAGGTTCCCAGGCTTTTTTCTCATAGACCACTTTAAAAATTTAGCTGGTTCCGGTGGACCCCTGCAGCTACTTTTCTACCATATTCCCAAAACTCGACAAAAAATGTGAACATTAGATCTAACTATGGAAATTTGCAACGCAAATTGCAGAGTTGTGGTTAAAGAATTGTGGTTAAAGAATTTTATTTCTCAAAAAGAATTATACATTCACTTAAGTTCCAACCACAAATTAATGGTTTTCGAAAAAAAAAGTGAGAATTTAATTGATTGTGCTGTGAGTGGATGTCAAAAAAGTAAAGGCACGTTGTACTGAATATGGAATATGCAAGTTTTTACAAGTAACAGTCGCTGGACTTCTTTAAATATTATCTGCCTGCATTGATAGGTGAAGTCAAACCAACATTTTAGTTCTTCACTATCGAAAGCAGATAAATCTTCGTGGACCCTCGCTTACGAACTGTGAACCCCTATTTTTTTGTCACGCCAACGTAGACCCCCGTCGAGTCTCCCGTGGACCACTGGGGGTCCCCCTGGAACACGTGGACCCCTGGGGGTCCACCTAGACCACTTTAGGGACTATGGCTCTAGCCAAACTTTGGTTCTGAGAGTCTTCTTACGCATTCAACAATAAAATGTAAAATCAAGATTTTTGGTTGAAATTTGTACTTATGTAAAGTAATTAAAGATCAAATTGGCTTAAAACGTTTCTTCAAATCATCATTCATTATTTATGCAACAAGGAAATCATACCAAAATGCGTTTACGGCTACCAAGTTAAAGGTTAAATTTGTTTAACAACTTTCTCCCCATTGATCTACTCAAAACCAAAAAGACGGTTTTTAGAAGTCAGGTATCTTAGAGCATCGACTGTACATACAGAGATGAGTGAAGTACGGCTTAACAATTATACCGTACAGTCACTTGCATTAATATGTAAACACAGCTAATCTACAATCAAATAATCGTCGTTAAAGCTCTATAATATACATACTTAACTTGTTTTGCCAGTTAAAAATAAACTATTATATTTGTGTAAAATAAAATAAATAAATAAATACCAAAGTATATTACATACGAAAATCAAACTTAAATTTCACTACGCGTATATTAATGCTTCCGCCTGTGCAATTAAATCCGCCCATTAACTTTTCACAGTCGGACACAAATACTTTTTAAGAGTAATTAGTAAAATAAAGTAGTAAAAAAAATGCATTGATCGATTTTTTTGACAACGTCAACAAGTTTTTCTTTTGTATGATAGATGGCAGTGGCCATACAACTAACGTGTTCGAATGTTTCGTTATACGAGTATGTAGAATAACGATAAATTAAAAGAAGCCGAATAGTTATTTCAAAAGAAGTCTAGATAGAAAAAAATAACCATTTTGTCAATTGTACTTAATTTTTTTGACGAAGTGACGGTCGACGATGCAGAATCCACACCTATTCACTCGCCATAAAATTTCAATCAAACTTATCTACACACATGTATTTTCTGCCTTTTTCCTATCCGGGTAGGCAGGGACCAAGGCCATTCACTTGCTGCGATCCTAACACACATCTTTCACCTCATCAACACGCATCAATGCATTCATACACGCTCATTTAATTTTATTTTAATAACAGTAACTGTCAATATATTCAAATACCCGTCTGTCTCTCGACTATTGTACCTACTCTATCAGGAGTTAGTCAGGCGAGCACCTTAGGTCTTCAGTACTCAAAATGCCTACTATTATTTGAAGATGATGTTAAGCTTTACATCGATGTAGAAAGACCTCAGAATAGCATTCGGTTGCAAAACTACATTACTACAGTAGAGGTGTGGGCACGGACAACTCGAATTCAGTTTAATTTATTCAAGTGCAAAGTCATTACATTCGCAATAATACCAATTCAGGCAGCTACTTATAGCATAGGCGATAGTATTATTGGTAGAATGGAGTTGATCTGAGGATCTCGGTTTGACTTTGAATTCGCGGTTTCCTTTCAAAGATAATATTACAGCAATTGGCAAATCGACTCCAAGGTAGCATTAATGCTTTACAACGCATACGTTCGCAGCATATTATAATTCGGAGCGGTGGCGTGGGACCCTTATATCAAACCGAAACCTCGCGTCACGAAACCTTATATAGTGACATAATAAAAAAGGTGCAGAAAAACTTTGCGAGATTTGCCTACAAAAAGATGTACAACGTTTATCCGCAATATTTCCGCTCTATGTTAGTGTACTGAATTATTGGATTGGCCAGCTTAATACTGAGACGTAAACGAATGCTCTAAACGCATTCATGTTGTTTTGAATGGTGGGGTAGACACCATGACAGTAGTGTCTCATGTGGGCCTGTTTGTTCTGGACCGATATTTGCGCGGCGGCGGTGCTCTGCTGCAGAGGCGCGTGCATCCCTTATTCGCGACGTTTCCCTCGCGCACCTACAGTGGCGAACATGCGTCTACTGTTCAAGTGACTTCTTTGCTCAACCAATTACTTACACAACAGCCACGTGCCGACATATTCCATGACAGTTCAAACGAATTCTCGTAATATGCTATTTTGTTCCTCAGTCGATTTAAAAAAATCCAAAGCAGGGGTACCTACGTAATTTACTACATTTTGACTAGTATATAATGTTTTGGCTTCCGCTGTAAACTTATATTGTGAATAAATAAAATAAATAAATATAGAATCCACTTTGCGTTATAAATCATTCCTAAAATTTAAAGTGTAAATCATTTCTTCATCTTTGTGTCGATTAATTAAGGCAGTACAAGTTTTTACTCGCATTTTTCGTGTTTGTTCGAACAATCGTATAGTGGGTAAAATTTTCCTTGTTTTTGTATTATTATTATTATTGTATTCACACTCGCCTTACAAATCTGTTTCATTATCTTCATTCATCCTCTCAATATGTCCGAACCACTTAGCATCAAGCACAGCATTTTTTCTACATTTACCAATACATGTCTTCTACGCCGAAACACTCTCTTATCACACTGTTCCCCATTTTTTCCATAGTCACTCCTCAAGTCTAGTGTATCATCTATGGTCACTCCTGTCATACTTTTCAAAATTCTCATTTCCAATGCAATAGTTCGCAAAAGTGTATAATTAAAGAAACTTAACATGGTGAACACTCAAACCAACGCTACAATAGCACTAAAAGCAATAAACAATTTAATTGAATATTTTATCGTATATTGTATCATCTTGCGATAAAATTAAGTCTGTTGAATGTTGTCAAAATCAAATATTTCTTACATTTTCTTTACGAATGGCAAAATAACACCATGTATCTTTAGTATATTCTGGATTACAAATAAATTGTGATTGTACATCCTCTGTATTAAGAAATATGACGTGTATTTGTGTATTTTAGCTGCATGCACATTTTCAAAGTTAGCTAGCGTAATTTAAATGGAATAAATAATTATGTATCGCATAATGTAAATAAAAGTAGATCTACAAAAGGTGTTTCAGAGCGCGCGAAATTGAACATGATGAAATTTACAATGGATTTTTTTTTAATACCGATATTGAAACCATTTACTGGTGCATTGTAAGTTCTAATTTAAAATTATGCCATTTGTGTTCAATTTTGCACGATCTCTCTTTCGGTCCCTGCTACAAAGAATTATGAAGTAAATTTGTCGAAGAAAAACATCGTGAATTTTACAATTTTTTTTCAATCATCGCCTTAGCTTGCATTTGTTAATAAAATAAATTATATCCCTAACGATAAATGGTTATAAATATTACTAGCATATTTTATAAAATAACAGGTTACTCTACGCAGACTTCATCGTAATACCTATATAAATTGACAAAATTAAAATTCATTTTATGTGATACTTAGAGATAAGAATTCGTTATATGCAGTGAACATAATAGATGAAAATATCAAAAGTTAAATAACATACTATTTACATATTTAGTAATATACTAAATTATGTATATTTTGACACTGTTTACGGGAACACGTTGTATGCCACAAATTGTAAACCATTTTTTATAGTATATTCCAAAACCTAATATTTACAAAAGGTAAGAAAATAAGTAAACAATAATTTCGTTACTACAGAGATTTTGAATGTCTTTATCAAACTCTATCTTTTCAAATTTTTAACAATGTACAGTTTTCTAGTTATTCATTTATTAAAAAATAAAATTATATAAATATTGTGGCAAAACGTTATTCTCGTAAAATGCAGACAGAACATAGTCATACGTAAATACAGCTTACTTAAAAGTATCTTATGTATATATATAATACAGTTATGTACAATTAAATGCATGTCGCGTCCGTTTTTTTACCCGCGGCTGGATATTATTATCACAATTAAGTTTAGAGTTCAGTTAACTTGTACCAATATCCCCATTATTGGTAACAAATAAACTTAACTCTCGAATATTAGACATTTTGGGGGAAAATCGCGAATAATTACAAAACAATACACCAACAAACCTTATATGCAATAGGTGTCTATATTTAAATAAAAGTCGTGTATATTTTCATAAGTCTAGTCCGACGATTATATGCTTAATCGCTTACTTAGTAAAAAACTAGAACACGCCTCTCATCAACACGAAATCACAAGGTATCATGTTACCGTTTGAGCACGACAGAGGGCAAATGGCGAGTTAATACTGCAATGGACCCGAAAGCTAGGAAGTAAAATCAAATCTCTATCATTCATATCATTACAAAAAAGAATTCTCACATACAAATAAATTCGAAACATTGAATCGATCACACCACAATCGTTCCTCAGAATTGAGTTTAATAAAGGCTAAGTGTCCTGGCAGTCAAGGATATATTGCTCTATGAATAATTCCAGAGTTAAGGCAAATTTTACTTCCTATGCTGCTGTCTCGGTTCAGGCGCTCGCGACGCGCCGTGGCGGGAGTGGAGTTGGGTAGTGCGCGGAACACGCGGGGAGCGCGGGGCAGGAGGGCGGCGGCGGCGGCGGGGGCGCCCGGGCCGCGCGCCGTCATACCCCGTCCAGCTGCCTCACGCGCACGTCCTGGGACGCGCACATATCTGGCGCGAATGGCAGGCACGTAAAGTACGCGCACGCCGTGCACTCATACGCCGGCGCCGCATAGAACAACGCCACTAGCGCACACAACATACCTCCCGCCGACACTAGACACACCCAAACCAGCACTATCTTTCTCCGTCTGTCGTACGGCCCAAACGTTACAAATGGCAGTAACGAGTAGGACAACAGGAATCCGAAAACAAAACCGAACACGTGCGCGAAATTATCGATCCACGGCAAAAGGCCGAGGAGGAACAAAGCGATCGCGATCCCAATGAGTTTGAGCAGCGCCCGCTTAGGATGTCTGAGGAGTGGCCACGCGCCGATCACTTCCACTATCAAACACGCCAAGAGTCCAAAGTGTGCTCCGGCGGGTCCCACCTAAAACGGAAACAATCAGAATCAAGTTTTGAACTGCTGTACTGCCATGGTAACAACATGACGATCCGTTACATATGTTGGTCAAACCACTTCCTAACCGGCAAATAGAATCTTACCTCAGCTCTATAAGGTTCAAATATAGCGGATGCCATATTTCCTGCAACACCACTGCCCAAGTATACGATAGCTATTCTAACAGGTCCAGCCATTTTTTCTAGATCCCTCATGAAGAGCCACTGCAGCGCAAGAGTTGCAGCTAGGTGCAGTAGACCAGCGTGTACAAAAAGCGACGTCCATGCTCTGTACAGTTGGTCTGGACGACGTCTTCTCATAAACGGCAACATACCGCAAACGTCGTCGAGACACGACACCTGAAAACGGGAAATAAAACTTTCCTATTATGAACACAAACAAGTTTCTCATCGAACAGTCTTTCAAAAGTACATATTTTCAATTCAATTCAAATATATTTATTTCAGATAAAAATCCGTATAGTGTTATAAACAAAATAACTTGTATTAGTATTAATTAATTGTATATAATTTAAAAGGACAATACAACTGTGTGGAGCTCAATCCATCTACGCATAAGTGACGAGTCCCACCGATCTGTGAACGTGCACAAGATGCTTTTGGATCCCTCGCGGAGGCGCCTAAGGGCAAATGCACACCTTTTCCTCACGATGGCCATGAAACCATCCATCTGAGTCTCGGCGAACATCCCCGAAGCACTACACCTCCACGGTAGCCCCATCAGCACCCTAAATGCGTTATTATATTGAACACGCAGGTCACTGAATGTCCGCCTCGAATACGCGACTCACAGACTGCACGTGTACAATACTTGACAGTAAGCTTTAAATATTGTAATTTTTACCTGTTTAGTACAACGTGCAAATCTGCGAGCCAACATATTACACCGAACAGCCAGCGACCTACGCTCCCTCTATGTCACAATAGTCATTGAGATCCTCCGTGACCCAATGACCCAAATATTTAAACAGACGATTCCGACAATTTGTTTCTCTAGAAAACAAACATTTACGAGGCAAAATTTCAGGTTTTATTTTAAACTTGGCATGTGAAACAACTTTTCAATTTTGATCATAAATGTAAGCAACCCCTATGTAGGTACCCTCTAAAATGAAATCAATCTATCTCTAATCTACCCAACAGTGGATTAATTTAGTAAAACAAGGGATTAATTAACAAACTTAACGTTTTGGCGAGTAGTATTCCATACTATTTAAAGAAAATTAAATTTTTTATTTGGTCGTTATACTCGTAGAACATAGTGACAAAGGGTGGCTAAAAACGATACAAAAAGTACATAGTGTACAATGTTAAGTATAGACTCGTTAAAAAGAACTTACTTGTGAACACAACGACGCCTCTTCATGAAAGTAACCCTTGACGAAGTCACAATGCTCCCTAGTGGTAATCACACACTGTCCGTGGACCCCTATACAACACGGATGGCCGATGACCTCACAGGCCATGTGCTCAGCCGCGTGACCAGCCCGGCCCGCTGCCGCTGACCCATCTAAAACTGACTTGCGGCAGATTGGCCATTTTGTGATGTCGTCTGGCCATTCGTGGGGTGCTATTGAACGTGGCGCTTCACAGAATCTGAAATGTATTTTTTTAATGACAATGACTGTACACCTTGGACCTTGACCGCTTTAATGTATGCTTTTTAATTGCGAACGCAGGCGATGCTCCAAACTATGGACTTACCACAACGGCAATTAGAACTGTAAGGTGTCGAGGGGTAGCACAACCAATAAATCATCCAAACCATGCTAAACTAACCACTGTTGTACAAGGCCGCGTATTGTATGTATTTAGCAGAATGTATCAGTTACTTACTTGGGATCTAATCCGCAAACTGACCCTGATATCCGACCTCCAGGTCCTGACTCACCCGAAGACCATTTCTTCCACGTTGATATTGTATTCTGAAAACAGAAGTGACGGAATGAATACAGACATAGGAGAAAGAATTCGAAGTACGTATTTTCGGCAATCTTCGGATTTCCGAACGCATGTAAAAAAGCATACACCTGCTCGGATGTAAGAATAGTTATTGTTGTGAAATACTTACTTTTGATACTAATCCTCTTATCTGTTAGCAAGCGTGCACAGAAATATATTTTAATGAGTAATTAAATAATACAACATACTATAATAACGTAGTTAAAATTGACGCGTACGTAAACTAAAAACGTTTTATATCTAGCCAATGAATGCAGTAAAACAAAAATCTACCCTTGCATTTCAAATATATGTCGTAAAAAAATCTGAAGCTTGTTACCAGCAGTGCGTAAGTAATATGGACTTAGCCACTTCTTGAACCACGCCACAGATTTTTACGTCATATTTATGCAGAAATATTTCCAAAACGACGAGCACTACTTTAACTTGTCATCAAGTGAACAACGAACGTTTTGTTGTTTTTTTTTTGTGATATCAATTAATGGAGCGAATAAGTCGTGGGCTTGGTGATAAGGGACGAGTCTATCCACAACAGTAGCAGTACCACGAAAAGCTATAAATCGCAAATATGTGAGAGGCACTGCTATTGCACCCATCACCCTGAGACAAAAAGTTGAAAAGTCCATGTGCCTGTAATTTCACCGGCATCCTTACCATTCAAAGCAGAAACAGGTAAGGTGACAATACTTTCCTGAATCAGATATTTCACACACAGCTCTAAAATGCTCTGGAATGTCGGTTGTTAAATTAATTTAGAAAAGTACCACTCACCGAACAATCAGCCTTGGAGGACTGCACACAGCCCGAGTCATCGTTCCGTATGCAACACGCGGTGTCTCTCTCCCTTCTCGCAGACGCCGCAATGGCTCTTGCTATCCTAGCGTCCCTTCTCATACAGGGCGCGAATTTTGCTCCTAAATGTATGAGGTCCGCTGCACGAGGACCTAGCCAGAATGATGCCGGCTCCTCCCATTCCACCTGAAAATTGATAGTTTAAAAATGTTTTTAGACTACATAACGAAAATGTATAATAACACAACTGTACTCCAGCCAAATTCGATATAGAATATTTAATAACAAACGTTGCTAAATAAGCTAGTACATTAATATCGTTGTAAGCTACCAATGATGGCGTAGGAAGATAATTTTTTGCCAATGCTCCTTATTTAGATTAGTTCTGCTCGCGGCCTGCTGCAATTTAAGTGGGTACATAGGTAATTGGGTTATGTAGAAGTAATACTTACTTATTATAAAGTTTGCAAAGTCTCTATTAATACGTAACATTTATGAATAAACTTTTGATTAATACTCACTGCTAGATAGTAAGTAATATTGGATGAAAAGAAACACAATCGTAATATTTTATTTTATATTAATTTACTACAAATCTCATCCAGCGTCAATTTTAGATTCTGAACTTGGATAATTACTACTCGAATTAGAAATGTTCAGAATCACTCCCTTCAAATCAAAAAATTAAAGATGACTCAGTTTTATAAATAATAGTTAATTACTGGTAATCTTTAAGTTGGTTTCAAATCAGTAGTTAGGGCGCGTTCCCATTGTATCCGCTCACGCGATACATGCAGCCGTAGACGCATACCACACCTAGAGGTGCCGGTGATGATTTTATACCGATTTATCGGATATCGAAGTTATAACAGGTAAAAGAACTAATATTAATTGCTATTTCGGTAACTACTCTAGCAAACCATAAAGTTTTTAATGCCTGGATCTGTCATTTTAAAAAAACAAACAACTTCAAAAATACGTCACGACAATCGTGTGTGTTATTGTTTGGGCTGGTGATTTCGGTGTTTATTTATTGAAAACATACCGTAAGTAGCGTTTTTTAAGTTTACCCTGAATATAAATGTTTATAAACTATACTTTAAGGAGTAATTTTATGGTAAACGTTAGAACCACTCAAACGGAATATTATCATATTTACCAAAGTACACCAAAAATTTCATTAGTGCTTTTTAAGTGCAGGATTTGCGGTGTATTACTGCATTATATTTGAGATGTTTTTGTTGTAGTACGGAGGGTATTTATTTAGCAATGCAGAATAATAATTTTTATTTATAAAAACTTGTATTTAAACTGAATCCTTTTCTAATTTGCGAAACCAAAGAGCCGCCATTTTGCGGTAGGATGAGCGCATCGCGTGAGCGGATAGCATAACGTTTTATTTACTGTTGGACGTCTGCCGCGTCTAGCCTGTTCCCATATCACGACTATCTGTCGTGACTGTGTCATGGACGTTTATTTTATCGTTGAACGACTGTTGTGTCTAGCTGTTCCCACTAAATCATGACCACAATTGCCAATTGCCAACGTACATTTATTTCTCTCATGAGTTTGGGTGTAATTTGTGGTTGTCTATGTGTGTGTACATGGTACCTGCGATACAGGGTTTCCCTAGTGCGGGGCTATTTAAAAAGAAACAAAAAAAAAAGCGTTTGAAGCTGCAATTAACTGTCGTCACACTTTCATCATGACGTTTTGTTTATTGTTCAACGACTGTCTTTCTGGCTCTTCCCATTGTCAGGACAATCTGGCGTCGTATTGTTAAAGAAGGTCGTGAACGATAGTTAATCGTGTTGTACTATATGTGAATTAATTTAAATATATAATATTTATATATAATTTAATTTAAATATGCAAACCACAACACTTTAAACTGCGCGATTATCTGTTGTCACGATTTAATGGGAACGCGCCCTTAGTGAACAAAATTCATCATAGACATGACTTCAAGATTGATATTAGCTAAAAAGAATTTCGGGGAAAATATTGAAATTGTGGTAACAGTCTAAGATGAAACCCCTTTTTCTTTTTTTTTTTTTTTAAATTATAATTATGTTTTTCTTTGCTAACAATTATTGTACATATAATTTGGCTAGAATATTAATAGCAGTTCGTGTGGTTCTTTTAAAATTCTGCCAAAATCGGTTTCAGAAAAATTCCAGCTGTTCATCACAGTATTTGTGTGGCAATAAAAATAAAAACAAATGTGCCAATTAAATGACGCAAAGCCGTAGATGCTAAGGTCTCCATTGTTCTAGGAGCGGCAAAGTAAAAGTATTAACTGCGCGCCATCTAATGTAGGTCACATCTAGGCTTTGTACTGAGTCTTTTGTCTGCTTTTTACCGCCTCTTGGCTCCCTTTTGCCGTCTTTTCGAGACCGATGACCGGAAAGGGTTCTATGTAATTATTCCGGGTGGAGCGTGTGGTTTCACTGGGACGCTTCCTTAATTTGCAAAGCTTTAAAGCCAATCCGTGAACAATGTTCGATTTTAACTGTATAAATTTGCTGTCAGTAGTTTTATTTTATAAGTAATGTTATGTACAGTACAGTATGTTTTGTTTTATTTGATGAGAAATTCGAAGTGATTTATTCCCTCGTACCATTACAATTTCTCGCCAATTTCGATGAAGAAAAATATCATGATGAAACCTGAACGACGAAAAAGGTTCAAAACCTTCGGAAAACCTGTGAAGGCCCCAATCCGCTTTGCCTAGACCCTCGGCTGACACTGGGTTCACTTTGTAGTAGTAGTGGCTTTGGTAGTAGTAGCCTGAGAAGACCATTCCTCAGCAATGGGACATGTAAATAGGTGAAAAGTAGCAAAAAGAAACTAAATAACTACTTACATTAAGGAGGAGAATATCCACTCATAAAGTTAATAACAGATATCACGCTCCAAGAAAAGTCCTACAATCGCAGATAGACGCGTGATTAAAAATATAAAAAGGAATCTTTTATCTCCGTGACGAAATATCAAATTAATACTGCTAAAATTAAAAGAGCTATATTTATGCGCACAGACAAAGAGCTCGACTGGATAATAATTCCCTCGGGTAGACAAATATTATATATACATTGTCTGGCGTTTAGATGCTAAATCTGGGTTAACGTGTTTTGTCTAAAAGCTTTGCGTCATTAAGCTATGTTAGTTGCAATAAAGTTAGAATTAAGAACATAATGCGAATTTAACGCATCGTGGTCTTTTAGGGATAAGAATAATAATGACGTACATAGCGTGGTACCAAAATAGGGCTTTATAGATCAAATTTGCACAGATGGCTACAGAACGCGACATCAAATTTGAAGTTTGTATTACAAATGTTGAAAGCGACGTCGAAACCAACACCGAAATCGAGAGGGTTGTATAAAACAGGATGGGTGTATAAGACGGTTACAGATGATCGAGCTAAATGTCACATAAACATTTACGTTCTCTCTATTAAGATGGCCACTTAGTCTTTGGCTAAACACATTCGCGCACTGAATCCGATTCGTATTCGTTCCGAGACTCTACAAATCTAGAAAACTCGGCCCAACTTCGGATGTCGATTATGCACCTAGTGCGATTCAAATCCAAGAAAATCCGGATATTGCTTGTACACCTACAAATAAAATGATCCCTGTGACATTTCGGACCATCATTTCTCGTATTCGGAACTGGGGGTCTACTCTCGATCTCCGTCCATATCCGTCCGAAATAATTACTGTCAAATAAGTAATATTCGACAAAATTAAAAGACAAGTATCAAGAATGAAGCTTCATTCGCATCACGCGTCTTTTCGTTTGGTCAAGTATTGCTTATTTGGCAGTAATTGTTTCGGACAGATGTCGGACGGAGATCGAGAGTAGACCCCCTGATACAAATCGGACGTAGTATGCAAACGCTCTATAAATATTGGCACCCAACGTGGCGGCGCCAATATTTAATTAAATTGGTTTCTCAGACCGTTGGTCGAAGCTATCACCAGCGCATACGTTGACTTAAAAGAAAAACAGAGACGAGCGAACTAAATGTCACATAGATATTTCTGTGCTCTCTATTAAGACGGCCAGATAGTTAGCCTTTGGCTAAGAAGACCCGCGTTAATCTTAAATTTATAATCAACATGACAAAATTGAAAGAGCTTACCTGTTGCAAACTCAAACTCTTAACCAACACTTGTCCCGAGTGCGTGTGCCTTCCAAACCCGACGGGACCGAAGCCGTAGCACAGCAAAGACAGCAGAAGCACCAATGTCTGCGCTGTGCTAACCCACCACGTGAAGTACGGCCTGTAGTCCGTCATCTCGTCTAATTGGCGTACCACGTCTTCTTGATGCGCTACTGATTTTCGGAGAGATCTCCTGAAAATCAAAAGCATACATTATTAAAGTTGAGTTTCATTTTATTCGTAATACTGTCTATTGAAGTCAAATTGAAATTAGGTTAGTTCTGCAGGTTAGATGTTAATAATGTTTTCTGTAACCCATATCGAGATTTCAGGGAAGAAAACTTTGGCTTAGTAACAATAAGGCTATCAGCGCAAAAATGGTGTAACACACAACTATACATAATTCACAAATATATAGTTTTTTTCTATAATATTACTTTATGTATGTCTATGCTATTTTCACGTATAAAAAATATTAATTATATGTTGGTCATATATGATTACCAATTAATATAAAATAAATTTGACTAATTTTAAATGTACCTTCTATGTGTATTTATCTAAATGTCTGTCAAGGGATCACTCCAGTTTTGCGCTGATAGCCTCAAAATATTGTTAAGAGCGTGCAAGCGTCCGAGTGCGCGCACGCGCGCGCGGCGCGCGTGCGTGTGTGTGTGTGTGTGTGTGTGTGTGTGTGTGTGTGTGTTGTATGGATGTGTGCGTGTGTGTACTTGTAACATGATAAATACAACGAAATTAAAATGTTAAAGTAGCTACATACTTATATAGGTCAACATTTATAAGTTGTCATTGAAAAAAAGTCCATAGCCTATTAGACAGTACTTTATTAAACGACACGTTCTTGTAAACGTTATTGAGTGACTTTGATCTCTTCTATTTGTTCATTTAAATCGAAAACATGCTAAAACGTCAAATTACATGTAATTACACGGAATATTAGTTATCAATGACATCAATAGGACCCCTAAATCACGCTCTGTTACTTTGAATGAAATTTTGTTTCTGATAAAGAATTCCTTTACATTTAAAAGTATGAATCTAATGATTCCAATAGACGTTCAAAAATAAACATTCGGAAACGTTCCTTGAGGCTTCTAAATTCGGCATCATTATCGCGTGGAGCTCCATAATACGGTGGCTTAGTATTCCACGAAGAACGTGCGCCCATTCCCTTAACGACCTGTCACTAGTATACCCACACGTGATACATAGCATAAATCTAGCGACACACTAAGTATTTGCAAATTCACATTTACACGTAAAAAGCAGACTGTAACGATAACACGTGTTTTTTTACGAATTTTGTCGAGATCATTAATTTAATTTTCATTAGTATATTTTTGTACAATTAATTGTTTAAATAATGTAGAAGGAAATGATAAACTATTTCCAAATTAAGTTTAGCTTGAAAAACACAACATATACTCGTAAAAACAAACTTTGTGATATGAAAATTGATATCAGTAATAAAAGCTATACGAGTACATAGAAAGTATGACTAATTTCCCAAAACATACATAATAAGTAAAATAGTAGCTTTTCAATTAGAAAGATCATTCTTGTACTGACACATACACAAATTTAAAAAGTTAGCTATAGTGCTTTAGTAATTTTATCCTAAGCTAAACAATATATATATACTAACTAGTTGTGCACAAATCGTAAAAGCGTCGGCGGAGCGACGTCTGATGATATTTCGACCGGCGACGGCGGCGTGATCAGCGAAGAATATATTTTTCAGATGTTAAAAAGCACTACAACATTATATAAATCAACCTTTGTGTTCATTTTCAAAAATTTTTTCACTTTAACTAGATAGTTAGCAGGTAATCAATATACCATAGAATTTGACATTGCTGTTGCATCCGCGATCGTGCGACATCTAGAGTGAGAAACAGTCTGTGTACTTTCGCATTTCAGTCTAGTATGAATGAGATGTACGTACAGCAATGTAATTCAATTTAATTGTACGGAATTATTGTATTGAAATATAGTAAGTCACAAATAAGCTGATACTTTATTAAAATAAAATCCATTTTTGCTACTTTTATGTCCAATTACAGTAATATTCACATTTTTTTCTTGACTTTCCAATATTATATAATTTTTAACATAAAACAATAAAATTAATCACTTGGTGTGCCGCTGTGCTTAAAGCTACGTATTCTGATTCCATCTAATTCCTCACGTTACGGGCGAATGTTAAAGCGTGGTTACGACTCTTCTTAACACGCGGAAATGCTACCGAGTGCCAACAAATTGGTTGCTACTAGCTACGGACCTCGAAGTCTACGACTGTAGCTCGTAGCTTGTATCATCTAAAATTAATGTCCAGGTTGTATACTTGAATTGAGTAGACCGTTTTTGTAGAGCCATATTGCTCTTGGTTACCAAGCAGTACAACTCATTATTCTCTCTGAAAATGAAGACGTTTCACAGAAGATATAATCGAGTCGTATCCGCAGATAGACTAAGTATGTACATATCAGTGTAGTGTAAGTTTAGTACGATATATAACATTATTAGTATACGTGCTTAAATACGAGCTTAACCTATCTATTATATGTACTCCAGCCCCCGTAGCATGGCTACACATGATAGTCGCGACACGCGCTATTTGATGTCTAAATCTGCCCCCGTAGCATGGCTACGCATGGTAGTCGCGACACGCGCTATTTGATGTCTAAATCTGCCCCCGTAGCATGGCTACACATGATAGTCGCGACACGCGCTATTTGATGTCTAAATCTGCCCCCGTAGCGTGGCTACGCATAATAGTCGCGACACGCGCTATTTGATGTCTAAATCTGCTCCCGTAGCATGGCTACGTATGTTAGTCGCGACACGCGCTATTTGATCTCTAAATCTGCCCCCGTACATGGCTACGCATGATAGTCGCGACACGCGCGATAAAATTAGAATGAGCGCTATTGGCTGTCTCAATGAGATCTAATTTAGATAGCCAGTATAATAGCCTGCTTATTTCAATTTTACCGCGCGCGTCGCGACTATCAACAGTAGCCATGCTACGGGGGCTGATAGCGCATGTATTTACATTGCCATTTAATTATTTTAGGGTTAGATCATACTTAGCAGCACGCATCGGCACCTTGGCCATGCGATATCTTGGACACAGTGCAAAGAGTACAATATTTTTTAATAAAAATAGTGCTTAAAAGTTAATACGAGAACGGCAGAATCCTACTTCAAGTAACTTGTAATATTATAAAAACTTGAAATGTTCCAGGTACACTTCTCATTACAAAAGACAATGAGTAATTGTATGAATGATTTTGCATAACGTTATCGAATAACATTTTTTTGATGATTGGTGTACAGTCAACAGCACATCAAGCTACACATTGACGTATTTTGTTCCGTTGCACTGGAGGCGATTTTCGAACAAAAATGTGTAGTCTGATGTGATGTTGTCCGTACATCAAAAAAACGTTATTCGATACTCATTTTAGTGATAAAATAATTACGATTGTTAAGAAAAAAAAATGTTTTTAAAAAATTACAAAACTGTTACAAAATAATAAAAAAATGTAAATTTTAAATATCACGATGTTTTTCTACCATGATATTTCATTATTTTTGTGATATTACTCCACTAGTTCGTTGTAATTCTTATACAAAGATCGAAACACTAAGAAAAATTCATTCGAACTTAACTTCCAGATTTAATGATGTTGAAGAAACAAGGCATAGTCTATTAAACTAAAAGTTTAAATTTTTTTAGTAGTAGTATAGCTCCTTGTCAAAGAGTACGTCCAGCGAAGTACTGACACCTTACTTATTTTCTGCTGTCAAGCGATAACTTGAGCATTACTGTGTACCGTTTTTGAAGGGTAAGGGTGCTGGTGAAATTACAAACACATGAAACTTGTCAACTTATGTCTCGGGGTGACGGGCATGGTGGCAATGCACTACAGATCTTTGCGATTTAAGGCTCTGAGTGACACTGCCATTGCTATGAACAGGCGTGCCGTTTACCACCAGACGCACGATTCGTTCTTCCCGTCACTTGGTATTATAGAAAAAAATTACAATCACTGAATACACATTGTAAAACATTTCTGGTCATCACTAGTTACGGTACGACGTTTCAAGATGGTTTCAAAGTTTAACTACACATATAACCCAATGAAGGACAAGTACAGACCTCACTAAGAAACCACTAACTACTGCTAATCGTTCGTTGAAGTAAGAGTGAGGAGAACTAACTCCTCAATGGATACCATAGATACTGATGAATACCTACGGCACGTTCTTAACTGAGACTAAGTAACACTAAAAGCCTTAGAAGGTTCCAGAGCATCGTAAGTAAACTTAGAGAATTTAATTAATTAATTCAAGTATCAACCCAAAGGAAAACTTTTAGAGCTCTACAATAATTCTAATAATTTTCAGACAATTCAAGAGCTCAAATAATTTTGATAATAAGATTTTTTATAATGCGGTTTATACAGTACATATTCATCATGTACTGTATAAACTACACTATAAAAAAATTATTATGAAACGGCTTGTGAGAAAACAGCACATCATAATATTTTTTATTATTCCCAATATGGACTTCGTGGTAGGATACCCACCCCAACAGACTAAATTAAAAAAAAACACATGGTGACAACTGCGGTATGACGTAATGTCTAGACGAAAGCGGCATTTCGCGAGACTTCAAAGGCGATGTCCCACTGTACGTTCTTTACACTGTAGTAATACTATGATTGTATCGCGCATTTGTGAAGTCTCTTTAATAATTTCAACAAGATTGATTCGAAGCGGGCTAGATTATTTTCGTAATGTAACACGGCCTTGTTTAGAGATCAAGCAATAAAAACTAAGGAAACACAACCCGAAATTACGGTACAATGCTAATATTGTAAATTTTATTTCTTTGGTTTTCATTGAACAAAATATTAAGAAATTACGGTACAATGCTAATATTGTAAACTTTATTTCTTTGGTTTTCATTGAACAAAGTTAAGTTTTTTAACTTAATTATATGTTTCATTTGTTTTAATTACATTTATTAATTAAAATAGTTCTAAACTAATTGTGGTTAATAACAAAGCATAGACTAGAGTCAGTCATTGTTTCTTTCCTAACAAAGGTAGAAAGTAGGGCTCGGAAGAAATGCAATGTAGGTCACATCTCCTGGATAGAGAAGATAAAGAACAGCTTTTGTTGCGCAAAGAAAGCTTTTAACGCGACATGAATACAAACTTAAGTGAATTAAATAATTTTGTTTTCTTTGCGCATTATTTTTAATTATGAAAATCTAAAAGTGGTCAAGGAAATTTTAATTACCTAATAATCCTCCAGATATCCTTCAGACCAGACATTCTAATTCATATAATTCTATAACCTACGAGTAAGACGAATACGTGAAAAATATATAAAGAAAACGATGTATTTTGGGCCTAATTGTAATAAACTGAGGTACGGCTTTTCTATTTCAAAATTTAAAAAATCAACCCAATTCTCAATGAGGATAATGAGAAATCTAATATTAATTAACGACACAAACAAAATAAATTATCGATGAAACTACGATCGATTAATGTTAATGAATTCAATCAAAATAATTACATTCATTGAGTTGACAGGTTCAAAAGTTTTCAACAGTAAAACATGACATATTAAAAAGAAATATTAAAATCGATTTACAAGGCTTTACAAATCCATTCATTAATTTCGTCCCTTCATTTCATGGATACTATTTTGTCAATTACTGAGTAATAAGCGCATGTCTTCCTTAATAGGACGTTGGCGGAATCATCGATCGTATCGATGGAGCTTCAACATTTTAAAACAGAAGAAAATCTTTTTACATCTGGATGCAGTTTGCATAAAAACGTATTTATTGCGTGTGCTCAACGGCAAAGTATTATAGACATAGATAGAAAATGTTATATGAGGCGATTAAACTATACGTGCTGGAGATGGCAGCATTGTCTCCTACTGCAGTTGGCTGCAACATTGCGGTCGTCAACCCGCTTTTATCTACCTAGGCTAGTGAACTTGAACAGTAAACCCTTTTGAAGAAGAAGAAGAAGAGTACACAGTAAAATTTAACAAGCGGATTTCTCATACAATTTTTTTAAAGTCGTGGATTAAAGCTATCTATTATAGCACTCACCGGAAGAACTTCCCAACAATGCCCATGCCGTACTGCCGGCGGTTGGAGTTATCAGCCAACGGTTCCAGCATGGGCGTGTGTATTCTGGCTCCGCCTGCATTCCATGACACGCTCCTCTCCGGCCTTCGGTATTGCACTTCGCTTGAACTTATTGGGGACCTGGCGCTGAAAAGGGAATACGAATTTCATCAGTACGTGCTGAGTAAAATTATTCGCAGGAGAACAGCCAAACGTGCACCATAGTATATTTTTATTTAGGTAAACTTTACTTATTAAACAAAACTGAACTTGTTCAAACAGACGAGTGTACGTATCCCTTCTATTTTTCCTGCCTTGTTAGGAAATACAAGAGCAAGAATGCAAAATACTAAAACAGGAAGTGAGCGCTAAAGAGGTTCTATACAATACAAAATATTCCTAATTTTTGTTATTATTTAGTTTTAACTTTGGCAGCGCGTTCTAACTCCATCCTAATTCCATCCCGCGATAATTGTTGAAGTAATTACGTTACATTATTTAAAATACGGTTTCAACAATTGATAAATCTCAAAGCAAACACAAATAAAGACTGTAATGTGCAATCTCGGCAAACACAAAGAACCTACAACAAAGGAAGGAAGACGCAAACAGACTGATATGTACATTATTTTAACATTATATTATAATATTGAATAATTATAACTCCAGAAATGTAAATAAATAGGCACTTTATTTAGATTTCTGAAATTATAACAATGAAAAGAAGCGACTTTAATATTCCAGCGCCTCGTCTAAATGGTGTACTCTTGAAACGTATCTCTCGGTTGAAGTACCTAGGACACATTTGTTAATAAAGATCTTGGAGACGATGATGATGTCGCGAGGGAGCGCAGGGCATGATCGGTGCGCGGTAATAAGTTGGCTCAGAAGTTTCCTAGGCGCTCCGTTAATGTAAAAATAACTCTTAACTTACTGCCGGAACTTTTGTATAAGTGGATAAGCTTCCAGCGCCTTCCGTGTAATATACAACATTAGATCCTTTAGATTTCTGTTGAGGCTTCCTCGCTTTTGCGGCGCCTTTGGCATGTTTGCGGATGCATGTGTAGATGATTTATACGCATCATGCGCAAAAAAAGCACATCACAGATGTTGCGACTGCGTGGGAGCATCAATAGTATCCTGAGGATGATAACAGGAAGAATGAACTCGGTTATCTTTCGTGGTTTCCGTAGGTTGACATAATAGAGTAGTTTAATTTTATTTCCAATAGTTGTCGATCTTGCTTCTAGTAATTCAGCGCATAATTTTTGTTTTAAAAAATTTGAGACATTGTTTTTCAGCAAAATCTAAAATAGGCCCTGGCCGATTTAGAACATCTAAATTACCTACCTAATTACGTTACCTAACGAACCTTATGACTTAAACTTCGAGTATTTCTTTGTTAAAACCGAATTCAATTTAATACATCTATAATAAAGTTAAGGTCGTAAAAAAAGTAGGGGTAAGCTACGTACTTGAAGTTCAATTAATGTTTTAAAATGGGAAAGTCGTTAAATTTTTGTGGCGAGTCATTCCCAAATTTCACCACTCGGAATGTTTGGGGTAACATTTTAAATGTATTCCGCGAACATCGGGCGACCTACATTTTGGCGATTATTTTTATAAAACCGGTCACAAAAGCATGACATGTGGGAAGGGTCCTTACATTCTGATATACTGAAAATATGTATAATTCGCATTGCGTAAAAATCTTATATTGTATAAAAATCCATGTTTATATAATCACGATTAAGAATACTACAATGTTCAAGTACACATAATTACTATAAATACATAATATCAAACATATCTATTTTTCAAGAATACTGACACAAATCAAAATATTTCATATATTTATGAGTCGTACAGACTGACGCATTTAGTATGTAGGTACTAAATTTTATTGTGAGTAAAACAATGAACTTTCCATTGATTAATACAATGACATAGGTCGGTGGCTTTGGGCGCCTGATAGACACAACTCAGTTTCAGTCTTTTAAACCATCTTCCTGGAATTTACGGTTTTTAAGATAAGTCACTATTCTAGATTACAATCGATATGTAATTAAATAGACTATAAAAAATAACGTCATTGAAAAGATTTCGTTGCAGTGTGAAGCAAAGTGAAGCGACGCGCCGCACTATGGGAAATAGTAGAACAACGGCGTATCAAAAATGGTTTTGACCAATATCTTTATTGAAATACACATTTAATTTTATTTCATAGTTTAGATGTCATACTTTATTATATTGAAGGTTTTTTATGTTAGATAGGTATGTTGATTTAACAAAAATACATCCTAATTGCCATTTCCCGTACTAATCTCGTTGTGCCGTATAATTTTGGAACTTTCGACATCGTATTTCAAATTGATTTTGTTAGATAAGCTATATGTTATTTTATATTTCTATAAAGCACATCTTACGTAAATGCCAAAAATAGTTGTTATTTTTAAAATTTGTTGTGTAATGTAAAGAAAATAAATCGTAATTAAAAATGGAGACATTAACCTATCTTTATCAAATTCATCAAAGGTGTTGACTGTTAGCGAAGCTTGCCGAAGCTTCGAATTTTTTATTATATCATACCGCAGGTATTCATTATCAAAATTTTATAAAAATCAGTTGCGGTTTTTTGCGGTTTCTAAAGATATGAATGAAATCGTATTAAATGTCCTACCCCCGAAAAATACCCTTATCAATGCAACGCGATAAGATAATATAGATGCGGGTGCATTTATCATATTTATCAATATTATTCACACTGCACCATTACTATATAATGCTCTGACACATTCATTTCATAAATTTATTAAAACAAGCAGTCTTTTGTTACTGAATATACTTTTCCAACTCCTTTGAAAATGAGTACTTTCAAATGTTGGAGACGAGAACTAATACTTTCCTACATTGAAGATGGAAAAAATTAATCGGCTCTAGAAACATTTTTACGAGATTGTTATGAACTTTCGTAAGACAATTTACGTTTGATAATTATTGATTTAAAAAAAATTGCTAACACAGTTTAACAGTCGATGGAGCCAAGCATCACGAAAGAAAGAAGCCTTTTTGACGGTTAACAGTGATTGGTTGGATCAAGAGTTTTCTGTTACTTTGGCAACGACAATCGATTCCATTCCATCTATTTCAACTGGAAAAAGTGGAAGCCCTGTATGACCTGTATGTCTTATGAAAATTCTTCAGAATGTAGTAAGAAAGGCAAAAATACTACACTACTTAATGAATATGGATTCGAACACGTCTATGGTGCATATATTCAAGGGCTGCGATCAAAGGGGGAAAATAATGAAGCAAAAATCGTGGAGGCATTGAGGCCTGCAGATGCAAAGAAAAAAATATCAATGCTAAAATTGATGGACGACTCTAATACCATCCAAACGCTGAGCGATCAAGAAGCATTACGTGTATTCATTGAATTGGATCTGACCAGGGCTCAATATTTATATTTGAAGAATATTATGGATGAACGGAACTGTTTCTTACTACCACCTTGTTACAAAATACAAAAAAGTAAACAGAAATGTTACCCACCTGCATCAGCTATTGAAATTACAAACACATGTGAGAAATTTTATCCCTACAAGATTTATTAGATCTCACAACGGCGTGGATATTGATGATAGATTCCGTGTACAAAAACGGTTTAAAACAGTTGGTTTTATACAGTAAATGGGGATGTGATGGCTGGTCAAAGTGAGTATAAACAAAGACTTCCAGAGGAGTCCGAACTTGTGTCAGACTCATACTTATTCGCCGCGTCTGTTGTGCCCATCAGATTAGTTGATGAAACGACTGGTACTGTTGTTTGGCAAAATCCTGCGCCTTCATCCCTGAGATTCTGTCTGATATTAACCGACACTCTTTCAAGTTAAACATGTAATATTTGTGGTGCTACTCCACGTCTAATGAATAATTTACGAAATGTAACTGCTAGGCCCGAAAATGAAAATTCTTTTCGTTATAGATTATCAACACTGCACGCCTGTATTCGCTGTATGGAGATGATTTTGCATACTTCTTAAAACCTTTCATTTCAAAAATGGTCAGCTACGAGTGACGAAAATAAACAAATGAAACAAAAGAAAAAAACTGTGGTACAAAGACGCTTTCGAAAAGAGCTTGGACTAATAATTGATAAACCACGGCAAGGAGGTGGTAATACCAATGACGGTAACATTGCGAGGATTTTTTATAAAGCTGAGCGGACAGCTGACATTACAGGAGTCGATGAAATTTTGATAAAGCGACTCTATATAATCCTTCTAGCTTTATCGTCTGGCATAATGATAGACTCCTAAAAAATTGGGGAATATGCTTTGGAAACAGCAAGAATATACGTCAGTAAATATGACTGGTATTATATGCCATCTTCGGTACACAAAATATTAATTCACGGAGAAGATTTAATTAATCATTTTGCAGTGTTACCTATCGGACAACTTTCAAAAGACGCTCAAGAATCTTCTTTCAAAAGACTACAAAAAATTTAGATTACAGCACGCACGAAAGTGCTCTAGACCTGCCTATTGAAAGTCCACCAACTTATCACTGATTCTGAAAAAAATATTATATTACAGTAATAATAGGCCATGATAGAAGAGAGAGGCTAGAGTCTAAAACAGATATCCGAAATAATAACAAATATGCTTTCATGTTTTTTCTTGTCTCGTATTTTTTTTTAAATAATTTTAAGTAAAATTTATAATTATATTTAATTTATTTTATGAATAAAAAATTACCGTAACATGGCATTTCCATCTTTGTTAAATAAATATTGGGTAGTATTTAGCATAGGGGATTTATGGTTTTGCACATTTTTTGTCTCTCAATTACGGGTAGTTAAATAAAAATGTATATTCATTTTAAAAGCGTCGTAATTCCCACTATGTATAATAAAAAAATTAATGCTGTATTTCAAAAAACCAAAAAGTTACAGATTTTTGGTCCGTAACTGACCTAAATTTCCCACAGTGCGACGGGGCGAGCAAGTCGTGCAGTTGCAGTGCCACTCAGGGCTTTAAATCGCGAAGATCTGACGGGAACTGCCACTGCGCCTGGCACCCTGAGACATAAGTTGACAGTTCCGTGTGCCTGTAATTTCACCAGCAACCTTGACCTTCAAAACC